TGTGTGTGTGTTTGCTTTACAGCGGGGCCACTGACTGTCAAGGAAGCCCTGACTTATTTTGGTGGAGCAGTGGCTTCTACAACAGGTTTAGTGGTGTGTGGGACGCTCCTGGCTCTGCTAAGAAGGTGGTGCAGACAAAAAGGTAAATAGGAAAGAGTATTCTTATTTTCTTCCCTCATGTGATTTTGGGTGGGGCAGTGAAACCACAGCTTCAGTAGTACCTATCTAAAAACATTTGCATTGAAAGAAAACAAGACTAAGATAACTGATCTTGAGAACCAACTGCCCATCAGTTGGTTTCAATCTTTTAGAAAAATAGAGAATTTTTATAAAAATACAGGTCCTCATAATATGGAGATCTGGTGATGGGCCTGTAAATCTGAATTTTTCAAAAGCCTCCCGCCCCTCCACCAGATTTTGATGAAGACAAGTTGCACGTTGGCATTTGGGGGCCTCTGAGTTACCGCCAAAACTGATTAGAAAGGAGTTACTCTTACTTCCTTCACTCATTTTTTCATGCAATAGCCATTTATTGATCATCTGTGTTAGGTAGTGAGACCCAGAATGATGGTTCCTGACGTTAAGGAACGTATAATCTAGTAGGAGAGATAGACAAGTTAAATCAGTGCTAACACTGAAGTGTAGCAAGTGTGTTTGGACAAAAATACAACCCAAGTTATTACAGGAACACAAAATAAAGGAGTCCTAACCAACTGATAGGGCAGAAAGACTCTTTTAAGCTTACCTTTGAAGAAAAAGAGGGATTTTTCCAAGAGAGAAAACTGAAAAAGAGCTCCAGCAGAAATAATGGCATGTGAAAAGACCTAAAACAGTGAAATAGCTAGAAAAGTGCTATGTTCCACAGTTTTTTTGCATCTGAATCAGAAAAAAAAAAAAACTGGTGGAGGAAGTGAAAAACGAAGCTAGTGTGAAGAGCTGCTGCTTTATCAATGATTTAGTATGAAAAGCTAAGAGATGTATACGTGCTCACGAAAACTTGTGGGGCTACTTCAGGCTTTAAGCAAGAAAGGGACCAAAATGGATGAAGACCTTCTATAAGGGAAAC